CTCACGGTCTCTCCTGCCCGGGCTGGCTTTGAACCGCGATCCTCAGATCTCAGCCTCCTGAGTAGCTAGGATTACAGGTGTGAGCCACCAGCGCCTGGCGTAAACATAAAATTTATGTAAACATAACTGAACAGAAATCCTACAGGGACCAGATTAAATAAATGAGCTCAATAAGTACAAACCTTGGCTAAATGAGAGTGGTGTTTTTAAATATCACTTAAATGTTTTTAAATATTTTCACACCAAATTCTATAGAAAATGTAATTTGCAATGTTCCCTAAACAGCAAAATTTCAAAATAATCTCTAACTCATTAAATTGTTTTTCACTCTACATGTCGTGAAATTTTAAGACCATTTAATCTCAAGCCAATAACAGGAAAGACTGTTTAGAAAAATTATATCCCGGGCTGGGAAGGTGGCTCAGTGGTAGAGCACTTGCCTTGTGTGCCTGAGGCCCTGGGTTCGATTCCTTAGCACCACATAAACAAAAAGAAAAAAGCGGGAAGTGGAGCTGTGGCTCAAATGGTAGAGCACTAGCCTTGAGCTGAAGAGCTGAGGGACAGCACTCAGGCCCAGAGTTCAGGCCCCATGACCGGACCACCCCCCCCCCCAAAAAAAAATTAGGGCTGGGAAGCTGGCTTAGTGGTAGAGTGCTTGCTTTGCATGCATGAGGTCCTGGGTTCAATTCCTCAGTACCACATAAGCATAAAAAGCCAGAAGTGGTGCTGTGACTCAAGTGGTAGAGTGCTAGCATTGAGCTGAAGAGCTGAGGGACAGTGTCCAGGCCCAGAGTTCAAACCCAGAACTGGCAAAAAGAAAAATTATATACCTATTCTCAACAATAAAATTCTAGGAAAAAAATATCACAAGGAATTATAAAAATTAAAAAATTTCCTCATTAGCTAAATGAAAAAGTCCTTATCAGGTACCACCTCATATGAGAAGAAAGCATACACCAAGGTGAGGGGTAACCTAAGTGGTAAGAAGGAAAGAAGTAAATCACTACATCCCTTGGGCATCTGCTCAGAGTGAGCACTACTTATACACTGCAGAAGGCAATTAATCACACCTAGTGAACGATGCATAGGTGTCAATGAGTTGGAGTGTGGCTGGAAGGAGATTCTTTGTGATCTCAGATGACTTATGTGGATCCGTCTCTGCAGCCATCTTTGAAAAGTGTTCATCCAAAGAGACCTGAACCTTGGAGATAGCAGCATCGAGGGTGTAGATGGATTGCAGACTAGGAAGTTCATGGAGCTGCAAGATGGTGGTACAGTCGATGCTACAGAATGACGAGATCTTTTTAAAAAAATACCCAGGATATCAATTAGTTGTGACAGAAGGCTATTATAGCAACCAAGTTCCATCATTACCGTCCCAACATTATCACACCTGTCGAGCGAAGTATTCCTCAACAATTTCAACATCATATTTCACTGAGCTACACTTGGTAGACGCCAGTTCTATGAGAGAGCCAGCATGTTCAGCCTTCATTCCCTGTTTGATGAGGTGATCCTATTTAGGCAGAAAGAATAAATGCTCAGGAAAGATAAGAGTCCAAAGCTCTCATTAAAAGATTCCATAAGTAGAGAGCAAATTGGCTACATATAAAACTGACATCAAGTTTAGTTTGCTACCTTTATCCAATTGACATAGGAGCTGATACGGAGGCGGGATGACCAGCGTAGTGTGTGTAAGATGTCACATTCACTCATCTCAGGTGAGTTCATGGCCAGCTGGTTCATGTAAGTCTTTGAAGGTGGCAAAATTCCTAGGATCCTCCACAGTATCAAGAAATAGTACTGAAGAGCACAGGCCTCCTGGAGGAAGCAAATGGAGTCAGTCAGTCATTGAAAGCAGAACATGGCACTGCCTCAAGAAGAGCAGTAAGAACTGCTCTTTTTTTAAAAAAAAATATGGAACACTTCACGAATTTGCGCAGGGGCCATGCTAATCTTCTCTGTATCATTCCAATTTTAGTATATGTGTTGCCGAAGCGAACACTCTAAATACAATTTTTAAAGCAGAATTGTGTAGATTCCATATTAAGATTTTGACTTAGAATTCAAGTTTGTTCTCCAGATATTTTAAAGAGTATATCTGATAATAAGAAAATAAACACAGATCACAATATTCAGCATATCTCACACACCAAAAGGATGCACCCCAATATTTTTACCAATAAGCCAAAGCAGGACGTCTGCTTGACAGGTCAATAATTTACCAATTCCCTGTGAGACTTAGAATTACATTATAGCTTCTGGAAGTACAGACACATTCATAGAAACATAGAAAAACACAGCATTTCAGCAGGCTGTGACGGTTAAAAGTCACATTTCTCCCAATGTTAGCTAAAAGAATGAAAAAAAGAAGTTGTGGCTCAAGTGGTAGATCACTTATAAGTAAAAAGCTCTGAGTTCAAACTCCAGTTCCACCCCCTTCTCCCAAAAAAAGACAAAAGTATCTCTACAATAAACATACCATGTTTCCTTTTGTTGGGCTTGAACTCAGAGCCTTTCTTGTTCAAAGCTGGCACTAGCACTCTACCATCACATGGGCTATACCTCCAGCCTGGGTTTTTGGCTAATTGGAAATGGAGTCTCATGGACTTTTTCTGCCCAAACTGGCATGGAACCAGGATAGTCAGATCTCAGCTTCCTGAGTAACCAGAATTAAGGTATGAGCCACTGGTGCCTAGCTGACACACCATATTTTTGAAATACTGAGTTTACAGTCCTTGTTACAAAGATTATTTAATAAACTAGTTTCTGGTACAAACAATGAGTAATCAAACAGCCTAAGTCATTTCCCAGGCTTCCATAGAAACATTTATCACTTATCAAACAGAGTTCAAATCCTCTTCCAGCTTCCATGGTCTTACCAGAGCTGTCACATTCTTATTTTCCTTCCTCCTTACAGTATCAAGCTGGGACCCAGCTGCAAGCAAGGCTGTTAGGGCAGTATAAAGCTCATCATACTTAACAAGCTTGGAGAAAAGAACGTCACATGCCTGATATCAAGAGAGAAAAACAATCATTATACATCTGTTTTACTTCTACTCCTACACTATCACTCAACTTGATGACTGACAAAACATCCCAACAAATTTTCCTTACTGATTTTTATAGTAACTTCCAATGCTAGGGCCTCACTCTGTGAACTGAACTGCTGTGCACATATAATTGCAAGGCTTTAGGGCAAGAGAGTAAGACAACCATTTCCGTCCACTAAAATATTTGCACAGGACATGCAAACAAAGACAATGTCCAAGGTGATAAACTGAAGAGCAGCAAGTAAATCTTTAAAAAAAAATTCCCTTTTGCTAGAAGTTCAAATCCTAACAATTATCAAACTGCCTCAACACAAAAAGTACTTGTAGTCAAGCACGGTGGTATATACCTATAATCCCAGCATTCAAAGAGATTGAGGGAGAAAAGTCACTAGTTCGAGGCCAGCCTAGACTTAGAGTGAGATGCTGTCTCAAATAAAATTTAAGTCTTTCCTTTAATATGTCTGAGCTGTAGTCCTAGCTGAGATATAAAGACTACTTCACGAAAGAAAAGAGGTTAAGACAGAAAGAGAATTCCTGTTACCACAGAATCAAGACGGTTCAAATCATCCTCTGAGGCTTCTGGGGACAAGACACAGTAGAATCTGGGTTGAGGGACAGCATCTAAAAAATATTAGGTGTGTTAAATTAATGGTTTCACTCATAAATTGGACAAGTATAAAATCTAAAAGACCACTTCAGAGCAAGTTTGCTCAGCCCTGGCACTGCTGAAACTTGGGGACAGCTAATTCTTTGGTATAATATGCTGCCCTTGGGCTGGGAAGGTAGCTCAGTGGTATAGTGCTTGCCTTGCATGCATGAGGCCCTGGGTTCAATTCCTCAGCACTACATAAGCAGAAAATGCCGAAGTGGCGCTGTGGCTCAAGTTGTAGAGCGCTAGCCTTGAGTTGAAGAGCTGAGAGACAGTGCCCCAGGCCCAGAGTTCAGGTCCATGACCAACCAAAAAAAAAGAGGCTGCCCTTGAACAATAGGTTTAACAGTAAGGCCGGCTTCTAGCATATAGCAAACTATAGCAAACCTCCACATTTTTAACAACCAAAAATATGTCCAAGACACTAGCAAATGTTTCCTAGAGTGAAGCAATATCACTCCAGTAAAAACCATTGCTCCACAAGCTAACTGAGTTGCTCTACAACAAATGTAGTGAACTAAATTGTATCATTAAATATATTAAATTTATATAATGTTCAATACCAAATACCAATAAGAAACAAACTCATACTAAGGCTGCATAATACCTAATAACCTGATAAACCCTCCAGATGAGCCAGAAAAGCTCATCAAAATAATAGACAACTGCTACATTGTCCAAAAAGACATAGACTCTTTACCAGATTTATGTAACTGCAACCCCTCTGTATATTACCTTTAAAATAACAATAAAAAAATTTTAACTAATAATAGACAACCGCTATGTGAGAGAAACACTGCAGCGCATACCAAGTTCCCATGGCTTTTGGCATGTATTATCATCAAGACACAAAGGGAAATTTAGCTTGTGGGAAGATACTAATCCCTGAGGGCAAATGAGGAAAATCGTATTTGAAAGTGACAGCAATCTATACTATGTACATCCTAATTCCTGCATCTCAGTGTTTTAAAACACAAGTGTGGCATGCATGGAAGTCAACTTCTAAAACTGTTGAGATATGTAGGAGGGATACCAAAGTAAATGGCCAGATTCTCTGGGAATCTCCCAACTTCAAAATGGACTCTACCCACAAGATTCAGTAAGTCAGATTTTTATTAACCTGATGAGAAATGCTTAGACCAGTTTTCTTCTACTTCCTTGAATCCATGATACAGAGGGGTAGCTGCTCTGCGGCTGTTACTGTCCTGGGATCCATTTGCCCATCCAAAAGGAGGACTGAGGAGGTTATGCTGCACCTTTGAAAATACGAACACTTGAATTAAGGACACATCAGTCATCATTCTGCTCTCACACTGAACATTATATATCAGTATATCATAAAACAAAATGTAATTTTCAAGACTTTTTTTGTGGCTTGTTTTAGAAACCAGTTTTTGCAAGACATAAAGGGAATAAATACAGAACATAATAACCCTTAACTAACCCTCTAATCCTCATTTTGGATCCTTACAAAGGATTTTACCGAAATATAGAATTTACCACTTGATAATCCTTCAACCACTGGCAAACACCCATTAAGGCCAATGCTCAAGGCACTACTAGATCATACAAAGAAGGGCAATCCCAAAGAACACCTGTGAACAGAGCTTATCCTCCAATCCTAACCCTCATACTCAAGGAATCTACACTGATCACTTCAGGCTAAGCATAAAGTGCAGAGCACATATGCATATAGGGGCTTTTTTAATCCTCCCAAAACCAACAACTAAAATTACACAAAGGTAGCTAGTAATTCTGTGCGTGGACACCAAAGCTCTTAATAATAGTGAGGCAAAGAGAATGTGAGGATCTGTACCTGCTCAAACAGATAAACGGGTGCTTTGGAGTACTGATGAAGCAGATAATCAAAGATCAAAAGGAGGCGTGCTAGGATGAGAGGCACAGAGCGCATCTGTGCTTCCATGTTGACGCTCAGCTCCTGGATATTCTGGACAAAGAGGGTCAAAATGGCCTGCCGGCCTTTCTCAGAAAAGTTGTGGAAAATGAGGAGTAGCAGCTGCAGGTGTTCTACATTCAGATCTTCTGTCTCACTGGGCACTACCCCTTGTAGGGCATTCTGCTTCATTGTAGACAAAAACCTAGCACAAAGAAGAGGGACAGGTGTTGTGGGAAAACAGCATAAGTCTGCCACGGTTACAATGTGCAGTATCGGAAGGAAGGGTTGAACATCTTCTACCTAGGCATGAAAAGACAAGACACAAAGTAAGTTCTGACTACAAAAAAAGCCAATTCTCTCAACTATGGCCACAGCAGTTTCTGTCAGTGCCCACTTGCCACTGGAGACAAAAGGAAGAACTACAGACTCCCCAAGGAAGGTAGTCCTGTGGCTGTGTACTCAGTAAACCTGGGCAAGCAAAGCCAAGTCAATTAGCTGGGTGCCTGTGGCTTACATCTACGTAGTCAGGAGATTGAGATCTGAGGATTACAGTTCAAAGCCAGCTGAAGAGGCTGGAATGTGGTTCAGTGGTATAGTGTTTGTCTCATGTGCATGAAGCCCTGGGTTTGATTCCACAGCATCACATAAACAGAAAAAGCTGGAAGTAGTGCCATGGCTCAAGTGGTAGAATGCTAGCCTGGAGCAAAAGCAGCTCAGGGACAATGTCCAGGCCCTGAGTTCAAGCCCAGGAGCAAGTTTGTGAGACTCTTATTTCCAATTAACCTCCAGAGTCCTAGATATTGAACCTAGTAGTACCTACCACTGAGCACACCCTCAGCCCCAGATTCTCTAAGTTAATTATAATTCTAACAGAATCATGACATGACTTAAGTTAGTACATATTTATATATATGGAATTTTACTCATCAATCTAAAAGAATAGTATGTCATTTGCAGGGAAATGTGTAAACCTATGTTAGGTGAAGTCAGGCTCAGAGACACAAACAGTGCATGTTTTTCTCTTCTATTTGGAAGTTAGATCTAAAATACATACATGATAACATATATAGGGTTATATGCATATATACACAAACAAATTGACTAAAGGATGGTATACGTAGGGGAGGAGTCCAATGATATATGTAACACCACTAACAACTAACAAAACATACAACAAAATAAATACCAGGAAGTTGAAACATGTTCAACAAAAAGGGGAGGGCATACATATGGAGGGAGGAAGGTGAGCAAATGCAGTCATTACATTCAATCTACATTATATAAAAACTGAACTACAGGGCTGGGAAGGTGGCTCAGTGGTAGAGCGCTTGCCTTGCATGCATGAGGCCCTGGGTTCAATTCCTCAGCACCACATAAGCAGAAAAAAAAAAAAGCTGGAAGTGGCACTGTGGCTCAAGTGGTAGAGTGCTAGCCTTGAGCTGAAGAGCTGAGGGACAGCGCCCAGGCCCAGAGTTCAGGCCCCACGACCGGACCCAAAAAAAAAAAAAAAAAAAAAAACTGAACTACATAACTTTAGGGTAAGGATGGGATGAGAAAAGATGGGGGAGAATGATGGAAAAGGTGACGTGACATTGATTAAGATGCATTGTATTCATAACCAGACATCAGGGATTGAAGACCTTTGTATTTTTTTTAAATAGTAAATTAGGTTCAAAAGTAACATAAAATTTAACTTTCAAGAACTCATCCGAAGCTTTTATAAAAATAAATAAATAAAGTAATAAATAAATAAAGGAATGAGCACAGCCAGCTGTTTTCACTGCCTTTGGCTATTAGGAGATTTGTGTTTTAATAAGGGCAACCTTCCCTCACAGCACCCCACCATCCCCAGTTCCCAGCCTTGTTGCAATATTCCACCAGAAAACACAATGGGCCTCTGGCATTCGAGGAGGTTTACGATTTCTCAAATCCAACATTAGAGCTATTTGATCCTAAAATGAGGACTAGAAAACCAAAGCCTTTTAGAAAACAAACTGCTTTGAAGACTCCTAACCATGTAAACAAAAATGGCAAATACAGGTCCATCTAAGGAGGATTTAGATGATTAATCTGAACTTCCCCCAAGGAAACAAGTTCTTTAAAATTTATCCAAAAGAGACAGTAAGTCACTCTCAGTGGTTTCATGATGAAAGCAGAGCTAGCTTTCCTGCTGCCTCTTTTTCAAAAACCAGGTCACGATGAAATTGGTTATGATCAAGATTCTGACTGTTTAATAATCATAACCAGCACCAGCAAGGCACCATTGGCTGGACAGCCTATAATGCTAGGACTGCGATGAAAGCTAGCTCAGGGAGACAAGTCTGCAAGGCTCCAACTTCAAACAAACAACAGAAAGCTGGACTGGAGGTGTAGCTCAAATGGTAGAGCATATACCACTGAATTTCAAGCCCCCTGGAACTGGCAAAAAAAAAAAAAAAAAAACAGGCTGGGAAGGTGGCTCAGTGGTAGAGAACTTGCCTTGCATGCCTGAGGCCCTGGGTTCGATTCCTCAGCACCACATAAAGAAAAAAGCCGGAAGTGGCACTGTGGCTCAAGTGGTAGAGCATTGGCCTTGAGCTGAAGACCTGAGGGACAGCACCCAGGCCCAGAGTTCAGGCCCCACGACTGGACCCAAAAAAAAAACCACAAAAACCAACAAACAGAAAAAAGAAAACATTATAACTAAATCCCCCATAGCTACAAGAAAATTCTGTTTCCAGACAACAGTTGTTACACTTCTTTTTATTTTTTATTTATTTTTTTATTTTTTTGGTCCAGTCGTGAGGCCTGAACTCTGGGCTTGGGTGCTGTCCCTCAGCTCTTCAGCTCAAGGCTAGCGCTCTACCACTTGAGCCACAGCACCACTTCCGGCTTTTTTCTTTTTGCTTATGTGGTCCTGAGGAATCGAACCCAGGGCTTCATGAGTACAAGGCAAGCACTCTACCACTAAGCCACCTTCCCAGCCCTACACTTCTTTTTAGAAAAGCATCTTCCCATCATTTCTCCCCCACTTCTACTCTGAATACATCATTGTAAAAACATCTCAAAATTGTAAGTGAACTATAAAAAGTCCAACAAACAAAAACAGTAAAAACATCTCCTCCCTTGGAATTATCTTACCTGTCCCAAACTTTAAGGCATTCGGGGACATCAGGGTCACCTTGCGTGCCAGCTTTATGTTGCCAGATGAGCAGGAGGCGTGAAAGCACAGAGAGGCCTTGCGGGTGAATGTAAAGGGGCCAAGGGCCCTCAGAAAAGGGAGCAACTCCCAGCTGCTGCAGCAGTGTGTTCTAAGTGAAAGAGACAAGGCAAAAAGGTTACTCATGCTCTCCAGTGCTTGTTGTTCAAAAAAGGACAGACTGAAGAAAGACCCAGAAATTCAGACTGAAGTGGTGCTGAGAAAAATCATTTAGTTCAACAAATATGAAAAACCTCTCATGTAACCCTAATAACACCTGGAAATGGCTTAAATGAAATAGGCTTGAGAAGGGAGAAGTGATAGGAGGTAACAACATCAGGATCATTTTCAAAATGGACAAAGCATGAAATATAATGCAATAGCCAATGGTTTTCTTTCACAGTGAGTTAATAAAACCAGTAACACCCAATAGGGGAGACCCAATAACTCAAACAGTATAATTTGCTTGTGAGATGCTAAGGCATGTAGAACTAATGAAGGCTGCTCTCTGCTTCCAGCTGTGGAAGACACTCTTAATAAGCTATAGTTTCAGTTCAGTTATGCCAGATGCCTCCATCTTCTCAAATATAGACACAAGATACATAGATACACACACACACACACACACACACACCATATTACATTGAAAAGCAGGATATGTTTCTCTATCTGCCAAATTGAATACTTTTAAAACATCTTTGATAACCCCAATCCTTGGAAATAATTATTATTTCAAATGTCACAGGTCTCAAGAACAGTTTCCACATACTACACAGGTACATGGCTGTATCCACTCACTGTGCGAAGGACTTTTGCACTGAATATGCAGAGTTAACAGGAGCTGGGTATTACATGCTCCATCACTGAGGAGGAGGCTGATGAACAAGACTCAACACTAAATGGTAAGCCATAAACAATTCCTTAACTCCTAATTCCAAAGAAAGAATTTCTTTTAAAAGTAAACCTATTGAACTACATCAAAAAGACTAACTGACACACAGACATACCTATGTGACACAACTGTAATTACGGGAAAATGTATCAAGAACATCCTAACATCAAATGTTGCAAACCAGCACTGCAGCTCCATTACCCCTTCACTTGTGATGTCATGTCAAGCACATGCTCTCCCCAGCCCTTCAATATAAAATCCTACCTGCTAACATGTTCAAAGCACATGTTAATTTCTTCTCTAAGCAGTGAGTCAGGTCACTGTTCTCTGGAGAACATTTGAAGATATAATTTGTTTTCTTTTACAGATTAGAATATATTTTATTAAGTTCCTTTGGTGTGCACCAATGGTATGTCTAGCCATAAAAGTTGGGCAACTATAAGTAAGGATGCTTTGTACATTACTCAAAAGAAATGGTACCCAAGTAGGAGAGCCAATAACAAAGTAAATAAACTATCCTCTGCTTTCTTAAATCATAGCAAAAAAGCTTAAGGTGAAAACTTAAAAGTCTCATGTTTAGAGACAGAATGAGAAGGACTACTTGAAGATTGTTCAACCAGTTAGGACAAACAGGCTGCATGTCCATACAAGCTTTAACTATAGTTATTTTTTTCAATGCCAAAAGCATTATCATCATTACAGGAGGCCTAAGAACTCCTCTCCAAAGTACAGTATTCTTCCCTCTTCTTTGGACAAGTTTAAGCAAGAAGGACTAAGTTGTGAGCTTCAAAACTTCCCTGAATAACGTGCATTCGGATAGGAGCTGGCCAGTGTGGTGTGACAATTTGGCCCTCTAGTCAAAGGAGACATTGTGGGTATATGCTCACTGAAGTGTTGTCTTCCCTTGCTTAAGTAGGTCACCAACATTTCTACTCAATTTTTATTTCCTCTCCTGCCAAGATAAAATTTTGCATTTAAGAGTAGGTAAATATTAATGAGTTTCATAACCATCTTTTTAAGTCACAAAAGTATTATTTTCCATGAATTTCACAGGTAGTTTGGATTTGTGAAAGTATACCATCTTAAAATATTATGAAGTAGAACAAAGTATATCATGAATCTGAGGATCTGCTGAAATAATGCTTTTACTTATTTATTTTGAGAGAATGTCTTTGCTATGTAACTCAGGCTAGCTATGTAACCCAGCTTCCTGGTGCTGACATTATAGGCATGAGCTTCCACATTCACCACTGAAATAATCTAATGAATAACCAAACATTTTTCCAAAATGACCTCTAGAAAATTATCAGAAACTTACATGAGCAAATATTAAGGGAAGGAATATCAAGCTAACCAGGAGTCTGCATTTTGTTTTTTTGGTTTTTTTAAGCATCGTGGGGCTTGAACTCTGGGCCTGGGTGCTGTCCCTCACCTCTTCAGCTCAAGGCAAGCACACTACCAATTAAGCCATAGTGCCGCCTCCGGCTTATTCTGCAGTAGTGCTGAGTAATTAAACCCAGGGCTTCATGCATGCTTGGCAAGCACTCTACCACTGAGCCACATTCCCAGCCACTGTGTTTCGCTTTTTGAAGTACCAGAGATCAAATCCAAGATCACCTACATCAAGCAAGCACCCTGCCCAGGGCTTTACCACCCAGCCCCAAAATCTACATTTTCAACAAGCTATTCAGGAAGATTGTGAGTGAGAGTGAGTGTGTGTGTGTGTGTTTGTCTGTGCTTGCGTCCGTGTGTGTGTGTGTGTGTGTGTGTCGTGGGGCCTGAACTCTGGGCCTGGGCCCTCAGCTCTTCAGCTCAAGCCTAATGCTCTATCACTTGAGCCACAGCGCCACTTCCAGCTTTTTCTGCTTATGTGGTGCTGAGGAATTGAACCCAGGGCCTCATGCATGCGAGGCAAGCACTATACCACTGAGCCACCTTCCCAGCCCTCCTCAGGAATATTTATGCACAATAAAGTTTAAGAACTAATAACTTTGAACATATTAAGAAAGGTATTGTACCTGGTGGAGGGTTCAAGTGGTAGAGTATCTATTTAGCAAGTTCAAAGCCCTGAGTTAAACTACAGTACTATCTCCTCTCTCCAAAAACAAAATTAATATCAAGTGATGATGGCTAACCAGGCACAGTGACATACAGTTGCAATCACAGCTATTGAAGAAGTGGGGGAAGGAGGGAAGAAGAAGAAAAAGGGATAGAGAGGATTCAGATTCAAGGCTTGCCCACAACCGGGCGCTGGTGGCTCACGCCTGTAATCCTAGCTACTCAGGATGCTGAGATCTGAGGATCACGGTTCAAAGCCAGCCCGGGCAGGAAAGACTGTGAGACTCCTATCTCCAATAAACCACCAGAAAACCGGAATTGGCACTGTAGCTCAAGTGGTAGAGCGCTAGCCTTGAGCTGAAGGACAGCCCCCAGGCCCAGAGTTCAAGCCCATGACCA